GTCAGCGAGGTCACGTGACTAGTGTCACGCCACGTTTTCTAGAAATATCCTGTTCCTTCAAGAATGTGTTAGTCTTGTATATATATATAAGACGGTCACAACATGACGGGAACAGTGTAATGAGTAATTGAATGTATGCGGACAAAATATTGTTGGCCACGTGAGATATAGCATTTGTTATAGCGCGACCATTGAAAATAAGCGTATTGTAAAGTTGTATTCGGAAAGAATAAACCAGTTTTATTAAGTAAGGACTTGTGTCGCTAAAGTTTCATCGGAACGAAGTTATGGAAAATCAACTAACAACTGGAGGCATAACAATATGAATTATGACATTTTAACTGTTTAGTAAATGCTCTTCATCTGATCAAAATACAAATTTTTCAAAAAGCATTTGTGTACCAAATTACTTATGGGCTCATGTTTTTTTTTAGTTACAGGGTTCCTAATAACATATAACACAAACAAAAAATTAAACAAAATGGCATCAATGTTATAATTAATCTCACTAATTACTGCTGGGGTCACCCATATATCTTACATAGAACATGAGTGATTGTACCAAGTTTGTGGGTTGTAACTGAATGTCGTAAGAGGCAAAAACACAAAATTATTAAACATGGTACAATTTTTGACCTTGTTTGTTGCTAATTTGAGGATTATACTCACATTTTTCATGTTTACCGATGTCTTTACATAGCAGCTCCATTTTTTTTGTAATTTGTGTTACGTTATAAAAAAATTGTAATTTCTAAGCTACTTTGTAGGTAGGATAAAAGACATTAAGACCAGACTGAAGGATCAGTTGAACTCAAGGGTCCCACAGATGACGAACCAATGATCCAAGATAACCTCCTCAACAGATACGATTGGAGATTTGGCCATAACAAAATAGAGTCAGTGAGTTGGTGAATAAGACCTACATTGCATACATCTACATCTGGCTTGGTAAAATAAAAAGGAATGAGTAAACTAGTAGACAAGGGAAGCAAGGCAAGAAAACAAAGCAATATTTGCTGGTTGTTTCAAAAAGGAACAAAAAGCATATGTATTTCATAATGGTAACACCCTAATCTACTTATGCTGGCATGTTTCTCAGAGGTGTGAGAAAAGTGTGGGTGAAAAAATCCTCCAAAGATAAACAATACAGGAGAAGAAGCTCAATAGAGGTCATATGAAAAACTGAGGGAAGGGAAGGGGGGGGGGGTACCTCGTAACTCAGCACAACTGACAGCTAGGCTAGGCAAGGTTTCAAGAGAACACATGGTAATAGAAACTACCAGTGAGAGTGCATTTGAGGATGACTACAAGTTAAAACATTCTATCCTGACTAAAGGAATAAGGAGAACAAGAACTGCCAATAGCTTTTTACTCCGAAGAGAATGTCTAAAAAACAATTAGACACACAGAGTAAAAGTTGATGATGGGTCAAAGTAGAAGAAGACCCAAATCAAACTGAGGGCCCAGAACTTGAAAAGTAAGATGAGTAGAAGAAGATGACCCAATTAAAAAGTTATTCACATTTAGGTGATTTCTAAAAGTATTAGCAATGACTCCTGAAAATCTGAAGGTGAAGAATATGAAGATTAAAGAATCAAATTATCCAACATATGACATTAGCACCAATACGTGTAAGAAAAAATAAAATCAACAGTTAAAATAGAACAAATATGAGAGGAAAAAAGGAGAGACATTAGACCAGTAGAAGGTCCATAGTGTGAACTAGCTAACAAATCTGGCTCTCCAAAAATGAAGGTGAATAGGCCTGAGCTAAAAATATTTTTTTCTTGTATTATTATGACAAAATGGTGGGAATTCTACAAATCAGCATTCATGTATACATGATTTTCACGAAGACCACTAACAGTCAATTCAGAATTAACGGTCTGATACAGCCATCACAGGATTAACAGTATGCTAGAGGCAGATCTATGTGATTAAGGGCTTCACAGAAGCTGTAGAACTTCCAATATTGTTAGAAAAATATGCAGCAGTAGTTAACAATGATATCAGAATTCACATTGAGAAAAGTTAATGACATGACTGGAAACAAGCAAAACTGAATCCTCTCACAAAATCAGAGCTTGTGTAAGTTCTAAGGTATGTGTTGTACATCATGTTGAGAGTGGGATACTGAAGAATTCTAGGTAAACTCGTGCATTCTTTGCTTTGCATCAAGAACTTTTAGAACTCTGAATCATGTGGATTTTGAAAGCATGTGAACAACTCAACATGGAAAAGCTAGCAGTATTGAAAAGCCAACAGAAGTAAGTCAATCTGATTTTAATCTACCAGTCTTATGACTTTAATATCATATAGAAAACTCACCAGTCTTCTTATTTTAATATTAGACTCAAAATTTTATAATTTTTTGTATAATTCGAAAAATAGCAACTTATAACTTTTATGTGATTAAAAAATCAGCAGTCTCTTGACTTTTACAAAGGTGAAGTTGAGTATGTTATACAAAGCATCCCAGAAGTCTGGACCCATGAAGAAAATAGACACTATATTCTTAAATTTAAACACATTTATAATGTCAATTGTACATACTTCAGGAAAGAAAATACCCTGATGGCACATATACCAAGAATTGATATGTGTATGGCTGTTAATGACATGCAATTTGGATAATAAATAAATAAAGAAGACATTGTGTATTTTTTTCCTATGGGTCCAGACTTCTGGGACACCCTGTATTAAAATTATTCTGGGGCCTCACAACATTGTTACAGTCCATGTTGTCACATCTAGTCATGCTCTATCTCACAACTGTGCATATTGACAGACAATAACCCTGCAGCTTAGTTTCATTGCAAAAACTCATGCCTAAAGTACAACACTCTTCCCTGCATGTTTTTCATAAGCTATCTTATACATAAGGACAATCGCTTCCCAGAGATCATTTACACAGTCTGATTGACTTCACCAGTATACATCTTTGTATGGAACAGTATGAATACTCAATCTGTCCACCAGCTGCTTGAGATATAGTTGAATGGATACATTATGGAAGCCATATGTGTACACTTCAGATGTGTTCCTTCTTAATTATGTTGCATAATGTTGCCTGGAGGATATGGATGTCTTTTGCCACTGAACTTTATGTTCAAGGGCTCTTACCTGTTGCAAAGACAATACACTTTGCATACTGTGGCTGGAGTATGACTTGTTGCAGATATATTTCTGAATGGTCTTGGTACCCCAAGATGATCCATATTCATTTGTTTCCCAACACTATGAAGTATAAGGGATATCCCCATCTGAGAAAGTTTAAATCCCTGATCTAAACACATCTGTACATTCTGAGTGTATGAACATTTTATGTCAGAAAAACTGATTTGGTGGTATCACACAACCTAAAAAAATGACAAACAATGTCAAAATGTAATTCTATTATATGCCACTCCACTACAACTATATATTCTTTGTGGTTTCAGGTGATTACTGAATTGTATATTCAAAATTATTAAATCTTTTAATATGTAACATACTCAACCCTCTGTACATCAGATTCAAGACCTGCCAATCTTTTGACTGTTACATCAATTTTAAACTACAAGTTTTTTGAACTAAATATCAGATTCAGAACCAATTTTGTATTTACTCAAGTTCCAAAATTTAGCACTGCTCCATCTTTAAGATCAGATTTCAAACCAAAGAAGGCTTTTGACTTTTATACAACATTCTAAATCCAGCTGTTTTCTGATTTTTACATCAGATTAAAAAAAAACATATCAGTCTTCCAACTCTCACATCAGGTTCAAAACTTACCATAGTTTTGACTTTTATATCAGATTCCAAATTTCACAGTTTTCTCCTATACCAGATTCATAATCTACCAACTGTTTTTTATATCACATTGAAAACCTACCAGTTTTTCACCACAACATAACTTCCAAATCCTTTCAACATTCTCCTTGTCTTCAAGGGTTTATTATATGAATTAAACTGGTGTTTAAAACATTGCCTAACATTTGACTTCAAAGCATAATTTACATATTAATATCTACTTTTTTGTCTCCTCAATTTATTACAATATCCAAATCGTACATCATAATACAGAATCTTTTGTTTTGTATCACATTTATATATAAGATCTAGACTTACCTCATATATTTATTTTTGTACTGACTGAAATGAATGGAGCACAATATCTGTGTGTATATATATATATGTATTAGAATTACAAACAAAATTCAAGCATTTTTGAATAGTTCACTATTCTTCTCATTTATTATTGTGAATGAAAAGAGTAAACTATTCAGGGCACTGGAGCTTTAGGTTTTTTTTTTTTAATTCATTGCACCTTCTTTGTGTAATAATCCTTTATCAGAATATACATAACATTAGCATCATTTATTGAGTACAATATCCAAGTTTCTTACTGTAAAATAAATTCAATAAATTACTTTTATAATGACTTTTTTTATCTTCAACTAAACAAATATTGAAAAATCTGCATTTATAAACATTCTTTCTTTTTTGTCTGCAATGCACTAATATAATCTTTTTATTCTATTTTTAATAGCAAGATAAACACTTTAAAATGTGAAAAACTTCCAATTTAACTTTCAAACATAACAAAAACTCACCTTTAAGGAGTAATCTTCATCTTTCGAGATAGCTTTATACAACTCACAAGTCATCCCACTGTGATTTATTACGTGACAACTGAAAGCATAATAAAATAGTAATCAATAATGACTTTATATACTTAATTTTTCAAACTGCAGTGAAAACAAGTATATACAAATTCTAAATCCGTATATCTTAGTAGTGAAAGTACAAATTTATGGATCATAGTTCAATAATATCACTAACAAAGACAGAAATAAAATAAGATTAGTAGTATATCAATTAAATAGATACAATATTGTAATAAGGTTCATTTTCAAAAAATATACAAAAACATTTCACAAAGGTCTTCAAAATAAGATACAGAAATAAACATTAACCTATTTATTGCAGTTGACTATATCAGGAAAATGGTGTGTATAAGTCTTTGTAAATTGAAATAATGTGAGAAGAGCATGACATTTCATCTAATGGCTGTTTGTAATATTACACAAATAATTACTATTCATTTTTTCCCTAAATTTCATTTAAACAATGGGTACCTACTATGTCACAATTAGAAAAACTAACTATTATTATTTTTCGTAGGATCAGTAACTAAAATAACTTGCCTTGCACAAATCTCATTTCCACAAGCGTCACAAATAAATGACTGGTTTGGTGAAACACAATAAACCACAGGGCAATCGGGGGTAGGACAATAGTGATATTTCTCATTGTTACTCCGAACAAGCTCCTTCAAGGCTGCCTCAATAACATCTTTTCTCAATTTGTCATGATTTTTAAGAATATGCTTTAGGTCTTCCAGAACAAAACGCTCTCCACAACCCTAAAAAAATATTTAAAAAATTCTTTTTTTTTACACATATAACACTTAAATTTTAAAATTTTTGTTACTGCATGCGTACGTACTAGAGTGCGTACCTCATCACAGTAGTTGATACTATACGTACCTAGATATTGATGCTGCGGTACGATACGTATCTAGATACAAAAGTTTTACATACGGTTTGTTACAAAGTTTGACAGTCTTACCTGTAATTTATCATCTATATTACTATCACTGTTATACTTAAGTACCTCACATATTACAGTGATTTTTCAAATTCTCAGGTTTGATCAACTAAATGGCAGCTGACAAGAGAAGTAAAATAAAAAAGTAAATATCTGTCTATTTCTTTTTTTTATTGTTAATTTATATGTTACTTTGCACATGTTTTTGATAAAAGAAATGAAGACAACATGTAGTACTTAATACTCATCTTCCTTTATTGAATCATTAATTTTTAGTAAAAATACTTTATTAGAAATTCTGATTTTTTCTGTACAAAAGACTAATAATGTTTACTGAAAGCTTGCCAAGTTTCATGAAGATACATAAATCGTATAATATCGGACGATGCATCAATACAAACGTATCACGGATTCACGATACGAGTATTGTATGCCACACCTCTAATATATACATATATCTATACTTCTGAAACTTCTTAATCAAACAAAACTGTGTGACATATTATATTTCAGAATACTTATATTTTAAAAAAACATGCATCATTAAATGTTGAATGAGTAGCCTTTCCATTAATATCACATGTATAGTGTTAAAAAAAGGGCTACAATATACTTAGGTATGAAATTAATTACAAGCCTTAAAAGCAATGAATTAAAACCATAACACTTTTAAATATATATTACTTTGATGCTGGAATTTAAGTTAATTGCATTTATTTGATGTCACAATGTATCACAGCTAATAAGATCCCTTTGTTATGTGTATGTTAATAGCTTATTCTGATTCTTAAATGACACTAAGCAAAGATTTAATTATTTCATAATGCAGTGACAAGATAGCAAGTGTTGATAAAAGGCAAATGGCCATCCCACTCTTAGCACCAGTTTTGTAACAGTTTCTTTTGTCTTCATTAACAAGTTGACAATCTCAATTATCAATAATCCACTGTAACAGACTCATAACTCAGTCATCTTGTCCTCTAACCTGTCTTACATTTTATACTACTCTAATTATTTCCTAAACTTTCAAGAATGTTCTAGCAATTAAGCTAGTTAAAACACCCTCTGGCAAAACAATATAAAAGTCTAGATTAAAGAACATAATCTATAACAGTAGTACATGTTTGACTTATGTGATATGTGGGCATATCATGTGTTTTCTACCTTCTATAGTGATAAAGTTATCTTCAAAAGTTTTGATTATAAAGTTCTTGCATTGTCAAGGTGGCAACATGTGGTCAGGAGTCACTAATGCTGCTTTGTTCTATTTAGAAAGTGACTTTTTCTCTGTCTGCAAGGATCTTTCAGCATTAGATAAAATTTCAGTGTTGAAAGAGTTAGAACTGGAATATCATTTATTGGCTGATTATGACACTGACTGAAGATGACAGCTGACCAATGCTGTCAGAGAACAGAGGTCATGCCATCCACTGGACAAAAAAAAAGCAAGTTTAGTCTATAGATCTAAGTGTACTTTCCTGGTTCAGTTTTTTATGAGTTGACCAACAGGAAGGACCAGTGGCATAACTAAAAAAGATGGGACCCCCACCCTGCATAAAAAGTAATTGGGCCCCTATATTACTTTCTCTATAATTGTAGTTACGATTAAGGTGCCCTTTTGGCTTAGGCCCGCTGTAATTGCGAGAGCATACTTATGCCACTGGGATAAACCTGCTCTCTTCTGGAAGATCTATATTTAGTGTTGGAACACTTGATCTTATGAGAAAAAAAGCAAGAAGACTGAACACCAACCAAAGAGATGAAGGACTGTCAATTTGTCTATTGTGGGTATGGATGTTAGTTCAAAATTGTGGCCAGCTTAGTTATTTAAACAAATAGATTAAAAAGAAAACTCAGTCCTATTATCTATATCACATGATACTGATAAATTTCTACTGGGTGGTATTCGAGCTCACCTCTGCTGAGCACAGTAGTGGAATTTGCTTAGATTCCACCTGCAGCTGAAAACATTCTTCACAGTGTAGATGTCCACAGCATTCTAGTCTCTGACCAGTCTCTGGATCTGCTGTGTCTAAGCACACAGGGCACACTTCTTCTTCATCAGTGCTAGGTTGTTGTGTCTGGTTCTTATGCAAAGTTGTTTTTAGGCGTTCAAGTTCTGACCCAGCCTGTTAACAAAAACAGAATCACCACTATTAGTAACAAAAATTAAAATTATCTAGCTTATATCATTATCTATAGACCCACCCTATATTTTCTTCTTCAATATGTTAAAATCTGTATTTCTCAAAGGTTTTCTTAATACTCAGGTTGTCATTTATTTAATTAAAATTTTTTTGTCCTTATATACATTTCCTTGTGAGGAAAAATCATATCCTCTGACTGTTATAAGGTACCCACCAATTTCACATTAGTAATTTCCAATTTTATGGAATAAGTTTAACTTTCAAAAGTTGGTGAAGTCATATTACACAACAGTTAAAATGCTCTAAACAAACATAAGGTACAGCAGTTAAAGACTGACATGGACTAAATGCCAAGTAAAGTATTTTTTGTTTAAGTCATTATGGGAAATGTCATGTGGTGCTCCTTTACAATTTCAAGCATTTCATTAAGTCATGGATGATTATATCAGTAAGCATCTGGTGCTAGAGGATAAATTAAGAATTGGAAAGAGGTCACAAGTTTTCAACCATTTTGGCTTTGATATAATAATAATTAATAAGTTAAATTTAATACTCACAGTATGATTATATCACTGAAAAATACCAGGTCACGTAAAAGACATGCATTGTATTTCTCTGCCTCTTTTTCTTTTGTTACTTAATTGATAAATGGTTCGAGTAGTTATTTTTTTGTTAAAGATAGCTATATTTTACTGAGGTTTTTGTTACTTCTTATATATAAATACACAAGAGAAATATTGATTGTTTAAGTAAGTCAAGTATATCTAGATTTTTTATGTTACAATTTGTTTGTTAACTAGAAGGAGCTGCAGGTCATAATGATGACATTAACATGAGCCTAGAATGATCTAATATTTGGTAAAGTTTTTCAGTACATTTTAAAATATAAACAGGTAGACAATGGGATGGTATTGATTTTTCTTTTCTTTTGTGGCCCCATCTCCATATTATATTCTGTTTACATGGGAAGATGTGATTAATATTAAAGTTTGAAAATATGAATGTTGATTTTGTTCTTCAATGCACTAGAGAGAGAAATATTAAAGAACTTCACAAATTTTTACCTTTTTTACAATCCAATCAAATGAGCCATATAATGGCTATCTGATCAATCACAACAGACCTTACAAATATCAGATTTGTTTACAATCATGGCTGCTCTTCCTAGTACACCAACATATTGTTGTATAAACAATATTTCTCGACGAAAAGGAAAAATAATTTCACTCAAGGAAAATAGGTTCATCAAGTGTTCCCAATGCTGCCAATATATCATCTGTCCCAAGGGAATTGTTGCAAGAACTTCAGCAGAAAGCTTGGTCTAAAATCTGAAACCCATATTTCTGACAGCTTAACATTAGGTCTAGAATTACATGGTCCTACAATGCCTGGTTGCATACCAGTTGATGCTGGATATCAACATGAGTGCTACCAAGTTTTCTGTAATGTCAGGCAGATATCACAGCTGAAACTCATAAAAGGAAAACTATGGAAGGTAATAAAATTACACCTCACATTAATATATAAATCTGAGTTAGGCTAGGTTATGGTCCTAGCCTAAAGCTAATATAACATAGCCTTTAGGCTATGCCTAGTCTCAGGTGGTTTTACACTCATATCCAGGAGGAAATTTGTGGTTATCAAATCCCAGAGTCCTCTTTACTACATTAACCTATGTCTAATACCTAAAACAATTAGCTGTAAAATACATGAAAGTCCTAGGCCTTAATATTATTAACATGTAGTCTTTTACTGTTTGTGTGGCTGAGACCTAAACAGTACATGTTAATATTTTTGTTGCCTAGCCTACAGTATTAATTGTTTGGCCAAGTTCATTTAATCAGTAAGCTAACATTAGACAACTATCTTTGACAACTAATATTATATATTATGTTTGCTTCAATTTTTCACAGATGCAAATGAAGAACCAGAAGCTCAAGATGTGACAAAGCCACCTCCAAAGAAACTTTTGCACTGAACATTTGACTCCTCAAAACAGCATGACATGATAATGAAAGATGTCCTACCTCACATCTGTTTGATTTGCCAAGGTGCCAAATGGCAGGTCAACAAGCTTACCAGCACAAGGCGTAAGGTGAGATTATCAGTGAGTGAGCAGAAGGAGGCACAATTGTTACTTGCAGCTGCAAAGAAGTGTCAAGATTCACATATTTTATTACAAATAGAGAACAGAAATCTTGAGCCATTAAAGCCAGGTACCATAGAAATGCTATTGAGACTTTACGAGATGTGTCACAAAAATGCAACTACAAGCAGAATGCAGTGAAAAAGCCCAAGATAGCATGTACACACCTTCATTCAGTGTTTTTTTTAATGTTTTATTCAAACATGGATAACTGATCAATGAAAATCTTGAGGCTGACAACTCTAAAGAAACGTTTTATCAAAACAGTGAAAAACAGTTCAAAACGTAGATGCAACAGGTTACAAGACCTCAAAAACTGAAGACACCAACGAAGAGAGAGAGAGTTTCCACAGTTTCTGTTTATCAAGCCACTTAAGAAGTTTGAGAGTGAACTAGTTTGTGCTAGTGACAACAGAGTAGAGGCTGTGGCAAAAAAAGCAGTCATGACAAATCCACAGTCTTCTGAAAATAGTGGTACTTCTGATGAATGTGATGCTGCCTCAAGTCCCTCAAACCACTTCATAGAACAAATGCAGTTCAGAACTCTCTATCATGTTTCACAGGTATGTATAATGCAAACCTTGCAACAAGATACTTTCCACGTAAGACTGTTGCAATAAAGTAGATTATTTTATGCCTTTCCCAGGTGGGTTTATTAAGTTGGAGTCCTTAGTCAGCGAGATTATTGTGATGATGTTTGTAATTGTTTACACAGCATGAATAAATTCAGAGATCGGAAATATGTTTCTTAAATATCATAAAATTGTGAAACTTTAGAGCTGAGCAACATTGATATTAAAATTCAGCACATTCTAAAGTACTTACCCACCAAGTCTTATGTAGTAAGGGGATGAGAGTAACAAAACTCGAATAATGAGTATATATCTGCTATTCGTCCCATGGTCTAAGGTATTCAGAGAAGACAGAGTAGTTTTAAGATGGACAATTGAATCAGTCAGTATGTGTGTTTTTGTGAAGTATTTGAATCAGTTAGCTATTGCATTTGTTGAGTTACTCTATAAAAGTTGATTTTAGGTAAACTCTAGTACTGTTATGGAGGTTTGAATAATGTTTGTAATGTAAAAGTATTCAAGCTAATAAAAATGTTAAATGTTAATCTAATTTTTGGTAGTTATGTGGACTGGATATTGAACTATTTTTCACCAAATAATTTAAAAGAGCCTGCCAATAAAAAAACAATGTTATAACAATATAAAAACATTATTTCTCAATTTAAAAAAAATTAAAAACACTGAACATCACTCACCAGTTGTTTTTTCAAGTTACTAATATTTAGGAAATAGTTTAAAGTTTGATTTACTTTAATTGACATTTAGGACATAAAACAACGTACAAGTTAAATGTGATTTTTCTACTTTTACACTGTTATTATTATACAATAAAAGTACATTCTCACATTTTTTACAGCATCAGAAGTTCCAACGACAAGCAATAAACGCTTCTGGAAAATGATTTCTGCAGACTCTAAACCACAAATACCAATCAAGTGACTTAGGTTGTGACCATAGGTTTTCACAAGTTCTCTTAATAAACCTTTTGGACAATTTTGCTCAATTAGTCTGAACTCTTTAGAGTCGTACATCTCCATTGTATCCAGTTTTCTCTCCAGTTCACATTTGGCTTTGGTACAAGCTCCTTCAGATCCAAAGATGGAAATAGTCTTTGATCTGTTATCCAAGTGAATATACGTGTTCGTATTACTCTCAATACCTTTTATTATTTTTTGTGATGATGCAAGAAAAAGTTTCTCTAACAGGGGCTTTCCACTACAATCAATCTGATCACCTTGTAGAATTCTTGAGAACAGACTATGGGCTCTGTCCAGGTCTCGTAAATTATTTGTTTTGATGACTACTTTTACCCTTTCTTCAAATATCTTTGTGATATCAATACCAATACTATCCTTACTGTCAAGAATATCTTTAAAAACAGCAATCTCCTCTTTAATAATTGACTGAACAGCTTCATAAACTTTAATACTACAAAAGATTAAAGAGGTCATTTGTAAACTAAGTGACACTGGAATTCCTTCTGGTCCAATTTTAGCTATTCCCTCTAGTCCCCTTGCAACTTGTTCCCCATCTGCAGGATTCTCAAAAAATATTTTAGCTTTCCACATCATATCCTTCTCCTTTGGCTCTAGTAGATGTATGTTAATACTGTCTTTACAAGTGTAATTACAAAGAATAGAAATCAACTCATTTTCCAAACGTTTACATTCCTCTTTATTGGAAACATAGGGACAGTTTCGAATTAAGATAACCTCCATATTAAATTTACCAAAGGTCCCTTGAAGAGACTGAAGAACACTTTCTTTTGTAGCTAACTTTGAAATTTTCGTAATGTAAAATGAGTCTGTTTTTTTTTCATTTATTTGTACCACCATATTGTCAATCAGTTTTCTACCATAAGATAAAACTCCAGAAGCTTGAGAGAACTCATCTGGTGAGGGAAAGTTTACAAATCCAAAGCCTTTACACAGTCTTCTACACCATAATACATCAAGTACCACTTTGTATTTGCTTCCAAGAGAATACTTGTTAGGAAAAGCCAATGGAGTGATAGAAAAATCTGGGCAATGTTTTAGCGTATTAAGAGCTTTCCTAGCATCTTTGGAGTCATTAAATGTTACATGTATTTTTTGTTTATCCTTTATAATTAACTTGTATGAACACAAGTTTTCAAGGTTTTTTATGTGGTCGATAATATCTGCATCTTTTACACCATCAGAATTTTTGCTGATGACAATGGTCCTAAAATCATTTGGCATTAATAAACATTTTACCTCTGCACCACTGCCTAATATTATTTTGGATGAAGAACCACTACAAGAGTCCAAAAAGTCAGCAAATGAAATTTCTTCATCTTCTTCTCGAAGTTTTCTCTTGGGTTCCATTAACATTTCATAAAATAGCTTTTCTACAACTGTGTGAAACTGGTTAGTTATAAATACTAAAACAATTCCTTTATCTAAATTACATTCTGTATGTATAAAGTCTGTTTTTGTCATACTTTTCACTTTCTCTTTAAACATGTTCATTTTTACTTGTTTCTTCCCAAGAACTTCTCTTAGCATAAGAGTTCTCCCTATTGGTCCAAGCTTCTTTGGTTGAATAGCCAGTGCTTTTAATGACTCAAGATCAACCTGGAGTTTACCCAGTTGAATCAGTTTAGAGATAAGTTCTTCAGAAACTACAGAAATGATTAATGCAAAATCCCTTGTTGTTTTGAGGCGATTACCATAAATGATAAACTGTGGCAAATCAGTGTCCAGATAATGAACGGAAGAAGATGGATGAATATGGATCTGTTCTTGAGACAATGTAAAATAACCCATCTTTGGGTGGCCTGAAAAGACACAGAGATTGCTGGAAAAACTTTCAAGGATAAGACTTTGTAATTTTTCAACAAAATCCACGTCACTGCAGAACTTCTTTTCTACAGTTATGTTAAATTCAATTTTTATAATTCTAATGCACTCTTCTACTAATTCATTAGCAACATTCATTGCCTTATTATTAATGCAATTGGAAACACACCAACTGGATCTTAGTTTCTTTGGAAAACCAACCCATTCTTTATACACAGAGAGAAAAGTTGAAAAATCACCATCACTTTGACAGAATTGAGTTTTTTTCAGGTCAGCTTCATTTTTGTTTTCTTCTATCCGAAAAAAAACACTTTGAGAAACTGTTACCAAAGATGCTACTGCAATTGCATCAAGGCAAAATTTATGACTGATTCCTTCAACAACCAGCTTAGACAAACAAGGATCTAAAGGAAATTTAGCCATACGTTTACCAAGAGAGGTCAGTTCATCATTTTCCACAGCTTGAAGATGTTTCAGAAGATTTACAGCTTTCTCAAGGCTAGCTCGTGGAGGGGACTCCACAAACTCAAACAGCATAGGATTGCCAGAAATAACTTCCATGATTTTTAATAGTGCTTGACACAAATTTGTTCTCAATATCTCAGGGACAGCACCGGTATTCATGTTTTCAAAATTATTTTTACTATAAAGACGGTAACATTTTCCAGGTTGTGTTCTACCCGCACGACCTTTCCGCTGTTCAGCTGCACTTTTTGATACAAAACATATAACAAGAGCACTTGCATTTGTTTTAGGTGAATACTGCATCTCTTCAACCATTCCTGAATCTATTACATAGATAATACCATTAATAGTAACAGATGTTTCAGCACTATTTGTAGCAAAAATTATCTTTCTTTTTTTTTCTGGTGCTGGCTTAAAGACTTTTTGTTGTTCTTCAATATTTTGCTTTCCATGAACTTGTAAACAAATAAAGTCATCTTGACCTTTGCTTTCTCTTTCCATTCGTTCATGGAATAAATTTACTGCCTTTTCTGTCTCAACAGGTGATGTTAGAAATGTGAGAATATCTCCTGGTAAAGGTTCTTTTAGATGAACCTGAAGGGCTTTGTTCACAGCTTCTGTGAGATAGTCCCAGCCCTCAATAACGTCTGTGTCTTTCCACTCAACTTCTACAGGAAAAGTTCTGCCCGGTATATTCAGCAAAGCTTTGTCTTCTATACCAAAGTATCTTTTAAATATAGCTGGGTCAATGGTAGCAGAGGTTATGACAACTCTAAGATCCTGTCTATGTGGAAGACAGCGCTTGATAACACCAAGAAGAATATCACTAAATATGTTTCTTTCATGAGCTTCATCGATGATAATGCACCCATACTCTGAGAGATCTTGATCATTAATAGCATTGTTTAAAAGTGTGTGATCTGTCACAAATAAGATTCTTGTATCTGCACTCTTTTTGGAATTCGTACCAACTTGATATCCCACAATATTTCCTAGTGCAAAACCTAGTTGTCCACTCACATGCTTTGCTAGTGATATAGCTGCTATTTTTCTTGGTTGTGTACAAACAATCTTCTTGTTTGGAAACAAACCAGATCGCCACAAATACTGAACAACCTGAGTACTTTTACCTGAACCAGTTTCTGCTAAAAGTATACAAACCTGTTCATCCCTGATCGTCTTTAATATTTCACTTTTTCTACCATAGATGGGCAAACCTGCATGGAGACAATGAATTTCTTGTCCAATATCTCTTTTCAATTTGTTTATGTAATTGTCAATCTCTGTAGCTGGAGAAAGTTCAGTGTGATTGACTTCATCTAATATATTTTGAATGTATCTAGAAAACTCTTTCTCTTGCTCTTTCAACTGTTTTACATTTGCTTCAACAGCAAGAATTTCTTCAGCACTTTTAGAATATTCAGTGAAGCTTACAGACTGTGGTTCACGAATTAAATGAGCCTTCAATTCTTGGTGTTTTTTTTGGGAATTCTTTACTCTCTTGTTATGGGCCACCAAGGTGCCTTCTTTTTTTCTTAGTATAAACTGAAACAAATCAGTAATCTTTGTCTTAATTTCACTTGAAGAAAAATAAGAGTTTTCTTTCTCTTTCTTCACAATGCATTTTACTTCCAAATCACTTAATCCTTCTTTATGCATTGTATTCAGAATTGATGCTGCTTTTTGTGCTTTTCTCTTACTTTTGAATCTGCAGAAAAGGGTAATTCCTTTTTTGTTTGGAGTATCCACTGAATCTAATGACAGAATTTCTTGCTTTAGATTATGTTTTAAATAACTCTTCAAAATATCAAAATTAAATATCTTTTCATCACTCTCAACAACAAGTGTAGATTCAAAGGTATTATTCACCTCACAGTTAACTTTGTTTTTTCCCATCTCTTTTTGTTTCACATTCTCGCTTTTTGGAGTTCCTACTTTTAGTGCTTTACTGCTTTCTTTAGCTTTTTTCTCTGACTTCACCTTGTCTATTTTCACCATAGTTGTTTTGAGATCAGTTTTCAAAGACTCTAATGTAGCTTCAACTACATTTCCAAACATTTTTTGTCCATTTAAACGTTTAACAAGTCTGTCTGCTGAAGCAACATTAAAAAACTGAACACAAGCTTCAGATTCTGAGAAAGTTACCAGTCTGCCATTGGTACTTTTTATTGATTTTGATAGCTCTGCTTTCAACTTTTCATTTCCAATTTCAGTAGGAAGGTTTCTCAGATACACATAAACAGGATCTTCATTCTTTAACTGTTTATCTGGAAGATCCTTCACAAAGTCGCAGTACTTTAGACACTTATTAGGAATGTCCAAGAGTGTTTTTTTAGCCATTTCATTGTGTATCAGCACAACACTTATACCCAGTTTGTACCTAAGAAAATGCAAATCAGAAGTAAAATCTGAATCCCCAGATATCAGAACTAAACAAGATCCTTTACAAGATTTTTTATTTCTACAAGACAATCCAAAATTTCTCAGACACATTTTTAATTTACTGTCTGCCGCATTCTTATCTCTGGAATTTACATGTAAAAGTGTTACCTGAGCATCATTAAGTTCCTCCACTAAACCAGTTTTATTATTTAACTTAGTTACATCACATGCAACCAGTACTTCAAATTCAGAAAGTCCCCCATAAAGTTCTTCCCTTATCTTGCACACAATATCTGCAGCTGACTTGGATGGAGGAACTGGGCAATTTTCAATATCCCAATAAACTCAAATTAAACCTAGAATTTCTCTATTCTGATAAAATACATTAGTAGTACATAAGCCTTCTTTTTTGTTTTCTTCATGCTCTATATAAGTCATGTAATCTGACTTACTATAAATTGATTCATTGTCAGAAGCCACCATATTTTCACTTTCTGACATACTGCTTGTGTTTTCAGAAGACAATTCGCTGATTTCACTTTTACTGATCACAGATTCTATATCTGTTTTATCATTGTCAACAGATGACTTTTCCATTGGTTTCGCAGATGTTTTAAAAGAAAATAATGACTGATCTTCTTTTAAGTTATGGATTCCAGAACCAACTCTCTTTTTACCCCCTCTTTTTTTTCTGTTTCTCTTGGTTGAAACTGATGACATTTCCTTTGGTGTACTTTCTCTGTCACTGGTACTTTGAAATGAACCTTCATGTTTTTGATATTTACTTCCATGTGAGTGTTGAACTCTGTTTTCTTGATGTGCTGAAGATTTACAAAAAACATGAGACTTATTTTTCTTTGGTCTCATTACTTTTAAACAATCTGTTCCTTTTGAAAATTGTTGTGCAAATGAATTTTCTGCAGATACAATATTTTTACATTGTTTAGAAATTAGACCCGATCTTATATTCTCTTCAGGTGAATGTGGATTTTGTCTAAGAAATGACTTTTGTCTTATGTTGTCTTGATAGTCATTAAACTTGCGAGTTTCACCACCTCTGTGGGAACCAGAATATTCATCTCTTTGTGCAGAACAAAATTGTCTTCTTGTATGTTTATGATCATCTCTTTGAAAATCCTCATTACTGCACACATTTTGACTGGAGTTTCTTGTTTGCTCTTCACCACTTCTTCTAGGTTTTGGGGCAATACTTTTGTGATGTACCTGGTTTTGGTGAAAATTCTGACTCTGCTCTGGTAAGTTATGAAGTTTATCACTAGCAGACTTCAAACTACGAACACTTTTAATCCTGTTCTGAATATAAATACCACTCCTTTGCCAAGGTTCTGAATAATTGTGCTCTCTTTCACTACTTGCAGTATTGGAATGAGAGAATTTATATTTATCAGCAATATTTTCATAAGAATAATTTCTTCTTGAACTGTGGTAATATTCATTACTTTGGTGAGGTCTGGAAAGGTTTTGGTAAAGATTTTGACACTGAGAATGATCTTCTGGAAAGTTATGAAGTTCAGCAACCCTTACATCATGAACACATTGAGGCCTAATCTGACTGTAGAAATCATCCATTTCCAAAGGTATTTGAGTAGTAGTTGCACTACTGAAACGAGAGGATTGATGATATACATCAGTTCTATCACAAGAATTATTTCTTCTTCTTGGATTGTATAAATGTTCATCATTTCTTGGTCTTGAATGATACCGTGGTGATGGCATATTATTTTCATTTCCTCGTCTTTGAGATCTTCTACTCATATTAAATCATTTAGTTCTGTCAAAATAATAATCAATTGTAAAATGCATATTACAAACTTAATGACATCATTTTAAAGAATGTTAAATGCATGTTATAACTTGCAGTATATATATATATATATATAATTATAATAGCAGTGCATTAACAAAAATATCTGTAAATATCATTAATTTTCTGAAATATTGTATGAACTTTTTTTTATTGCTATTTCACTTTTCACTTCACATATTAAAAGTTCTACTGTGTATAAAGGATACAGTACTTAGTCTCTTTTGTAAAAAAATCATGACACTGAACACAGGTTAATGTAAAACCAACCATGATCCATTTTATGTGTTTGTACACTTCTAAAGATTAAGTTATGTAGACATGATACTTTTTAAATGTATCGAAATCCATGCCAAGATCAATATAAATTAAAAGCAAATATCTACACTCTGTGATATAAAATCTAATTGAACTGATCTTCTGAATAAGCTATATTTTAGGACTTTGACATGCTGTCATATTAAGTATTTTCTATCCTCTTTTTGCTACTTTGCTATTTGTTTCATGACAAAAGTTTATGTGTCCACATGAGTTCAGAAAATGGTTCTCTACATGTCCATTTGTACTAACATGCAAGAAGTTAGCTCTCAGTTCACTGGGAGAACAAATTGTTTGTGGCCATTAATGCTGAAAATTGAATGAAATATTAAGGTTAATGAATCAAAAACAGTTGATAATCAATTATAAGTTAGTGACACTTTCTTTATTTTTTAATTAGTTGAAATAAAAAAAGGCACATTAGTTGTGTTTGCAGTTTTTTTCTATGACTATATATCTTACAATCCAGGATAAATTAGTATCAAAGAAACCTATGAAAAATTCATGACTTACACTTTATATATGGGTATTTTATTCAAACCATCTGCTTTTATTTTGTACAGTACAATTTTCAAGCAATGAACTGATAAACTTATCCTAATTTTGTTTCAGAGAAAATAAATTCGAAGAATTATTTCATGCCTATAATTACTTAACAAAAGTGAGAATCAACCTAACCTTCACTTCAAAGTTTGGCAGAAGGTGTGAGCACTGGAGAAGTGTGAGTAGAGGTAAGTACCTATCGTAAATACATTTTCAGTATAGGAAAATTACAACTTCCGATACAGTACCTACCTCCTCTCACAAGATTAGCTAGAATCCCACATTGAGAAGGAGGAGGGACTGCTACAAGGGAATAACAGAAGCACCCCCAAAAGCATCTGACGGATGCCCCTGACCATGAGAGAAAGAGATCTGGAGATCAGAGGAGGGGAACCGCACCACTTCTGCGCCAGGTATATTCTTTGTCCTTGTGTATAATTCGTAAAACACATGAGTGGGAATCACGAGGTGTAGAGTGGCTATGGCGCATCAGACCATACTCGGCAAGTCAACTACATCCAAAACCTCCTCTATGGGGAACCGACATCCACGCAAAGGTAGGATGAGGATCATACATTGCTCACCTAGAACCCAAGAATTGGGGATTAAGATCTGCTTCAATTCCTGGGCACTTCACAAGGATCAATATCCAACAGCAATCCGGGATTGGCCATTCGGCATAGAGAGGATGGATTCCATTTGTGTGACATTTGAAATACACTTACACATACACGATCAAGTCTGGAAATCCCAAACCCTTGTCAGTCTATATCATGAGTTGGTAAAATTGATTTTTTCATTGAAGATTTAAATTTACTGCAACCAGAAGAGTAGGCAACTGATATTGTTATTGATGCTTTTCTTACTACTGTGTCTAATTCAACTGAATGTAACCAATATTTTGCCTGTTTCATGCCATTTCATGCAATAGTTCAAATGTTGCTAGAAATTTATGATGTTTCTTAAATGGGTAGAAAAAAATTTTGTATTCAGTCTTCTTGTCCCAACTAATGTGAAAACATGTCACTGGATTTTGTTTGTGGTGATTAAAAAAATGAAAACAATAATTTGATTAGATTCTACGCATGGAGAGCACATGCAACTTTTTAATATAATTTTGACATTTTTCTCATCCATCCACCCATCAGTCCCATTGGTATTTTTTTTACTCCAACTGCCATTCCTCATCAAAAAAATTATTTTGATTGTGGCATTTTCATTTGTATCTATCATCAATGCTGTGTATAGATAACCACTCTCCTTATGATATATAACAATGAATTTGAGCCTAGATAGTCTACAAAATTATTAACTATCCAGAAATTCACTCTAAAAGATTATCAAGCAAGCTTGTTTCAAATGACTGATACCAGAGAGAAAGGCTATACGAATTCCATCAAGATGATTAAGAATTTCAAGAATTTCCCCAAATTTCCTTTATTTCCTCTCTTTTGCAAAGCTTTCTTAAAGGCACTTTCAAACAAAGTTATGCAAACACCAAACAGAAATTGGTTTTGTGAAGAGGAATGCCAGGACTGACATCACATAGCATGCCTTTGAGAACATTTAGAAAAACACTACGACAAACATACACTTGTCCAAAGTGTAGAAGTATCTCATTTTATTTTCCTTTCCCACTATAACAGTAATATTCTAAGTTGTATAACTTCAAAAGGGAGGTCCTAATCTAAAGATATCTACTATTGGAGGCCACTAGTCAACATCTATGTTCATGTGCTGGGCAGCATTAGCCTTCATGAGTGGATGCAACTTGAAACATTGACTGATTAAGTTAATGTGATATTCGCTGACTGATTTTAGAATAAATGAATTATTGTGTCAAGAAGTATTATATATTGTTGCGTCAACGAGGTCAAGTGACTAGTATCACGCCACGTCCTTCTTGAACCTTCATGAATTATCGGGGGACTACTAGATTGGGGGTAGTCTGGTATATATAAGACCTGCTACAAAGCGACGGAAACAATGTGTAAGGTAATGAGTAATTGAACTGCAGTCAGTGAATGTGTAATTGAACTCAAGCACATGAGACGTTTGTTATAGCGCGACTGTTGAAATTAAGAAAGAAGAAACCAGTTTTATTTAAGAAAGGACTTGTGTCGCTAAAGTTTCGTCGGAACGAATTTACGGAAAATTAATCAACAAATGGAGGCATAACAAATTGGTGTCAGAGAGTGGGACAAAAAAAAAAAAATGGAAACGAGAAGCGGCAAATCAAACTACAGCTTAGCAGATTTGATGGCAGCAATACAAGAACAGCAAAAGAAACAAGAAGGACGAGAAGAGAAACAAGAAGAGAAATTACAGCAGTTGTTGGAGGAAAAAGAAAAGACAAAAGAAGAACGAGAAAATAAACAAGAAAAGAAACAAGAAGAGAGATTGCAGCATTTGCAAGAAAACCTGCAACAGTGGCAGCTCGAACAGCAAAATAAACAAGAAGAGAGATTACAGCAGTTGTTGGAGGAAAAAAAAAAGAAACAAGAAGAGAGACAACAGCAGTGGCAAGAAAACCTGCAACAGTGGCAGCTCGAACAGCAAAATAAACAAAAGAGATTACAGCAGTTGTTGGAGAAAAAGAAAAGAAACAAGAAGAACTAGAAATAAAC